AAGTCGGAAAATGTGCCTCCTCGGGGCTAGTAACTAATAGTGGCGTTATGATTTCAACGGAGCACAAATGTTTTTCAAGAAAAAGGAAAAGATAATGTAAACCACCTTAAATTATTTTCGTGTTCATCCGTGTGGCAGCCGCTGTGGGTTTTCGGGTTGTGTGGCACTGGCTGGTTTTGAGAAGATGGCGTCTTATGCAGCAAGCTCAAGTACCTCTCCTGCTCGGATGTTTTCGAAGATTAGTTGTGCGAAAATCTTGAAAGAGTGCAAGCAGATGATCGCCAATGTGTACGGGAGTATAAGAACACATTCCCCGGAGAATTCGGTCGTGAAGTCCTGGAGACGGCCAGTAACGACACTGGAGTGTGCCCTGTACTGTCGCGAAGTGCAAGGCGCAGTGCCCATCTGGCAAGGTGGCGTCCCCGAAGCAAAGACCTCGCAACATGAAAGTTTCGAGCACGGGGACCGTCAAGCATGACGAGTTCACACAGAATGCCATTCGCCTGAAGGTGCATCGCAAGTGCTGCGAGAGGGAGATTCCTACCCTTGACAGCTATTTCAAAATAAACTTTACAGGCCACAACTATTGTCGATTCACGTTTTATTATAAATTTTGGGACAAGGCCGCTATCAGGGCGATTCCTCATTCCACGCTGCACGAAAGAAAATATAACTCGGTGCTGGAGGCAAATAACACTTGCAAAGCGGCAGACCAGATGGTAGAAATCTGGCCTCTCGGCGACTTATAAATAAAAATCAAGAAGGAGGAACTGAAATATGCACTTCGTCAATGCGCACAATCTTGCACAAAAAGTATGTCCAAAAAAGAAAAAAAAAAAAAAAAAAAAACTTTGCGCGTAAAATGGGTTCAATCCACGGCCACCGAGACGTCAATATCGCCAGAGCAGCGCCTTTTACCACTCGTCCACGAAACGCGCGGAGTAACACTTTTTCTATTTTTTCATGCGCACCACTTTAGTACCTTTCACAGCGTTGCACGCTAAGTATGAAACAGAGTATAAGACACCCTATTGTCTGGTACAGAGACCATTTATGAACGCTTGGGTGTTTAAACGATGTACTACACATTTTACAAAAAAAAAAAAAAAAAACATTGGGTGTTTAAACGTTGTACTACCCCTTTTTCAATAGAAAAAAGCAACAATAAAAAATAAAAAAAAAACATTTCAGAAGAAAAAGTTAAGGAAACGGAATGTACCATTATGTTCAGTGAAGTTTGGTGACAAGACTTGGGACTCGAGCAGGAATGCAGTTATCCTTGGTGTGACCCCATGAGACTGTCTTGCTGCCTTTGCTGGGGTTTATCTAACTGAAGTACCTGTGCGAAAAGAACACATGTGCATAACACTCATTATTCACAATAAAATTTGTCAATGTCCAAAATGACCCATGAAGAAAATTATGCGAGGAATTTTCAGGCTGCGTTGGCCGAGTCACCTCTCGTGGCCAATGTTTCATAGCAACTTTGATTGTAGTGAACAGTTATAGGGTATATTACGAACAAAGTGCAATTTGGTTTTGTAGGAAACTATAACACACAAAACGACACTTGAATACAGTATGTTGAGGTACCTCTAAACAAACTCCAGGGTTTCATGGCGCCTCCTTCAGATACCTGATGTTGAACATGAAATATGTGCACCAAGGAGTGAGCAAACAGCGACTTCAGATTTGTCTCTAACACCAGCGACATGTCGACAAGGAGTGCAACGTGTAGAAGGTCTAGAAGTGTGCCAAGATGAAAAAGCAAGATGTAATGATATCAGAATAAGATCACACCAACGAGGCACCATTGTGGTGAGACAATCTACGATGTAGAGACAGTAATCGGGAGTCAACCGACGTACGGCCGCGATTTACTTTGCGGCGACTGAAATAAAACATGGCAAAAAAAAAAAAAAAAATTTTTTTGAAAATTAAAAAACGCGTTTTTTTTTTACTTTATTCTTTGAGCGCAGCCGGTAGCAGAGCAGTTGGACGGCGTCACGAAAATCTGACAGACTCGCTAGCTTCTCTCAACTTCGTACGGCGCCAGTCGGCACCACAGATGAATGGTCGGCACTCTTAGTCTACCAGGGAAGAAAAAAGTACGAGCTCAGAGCCCAGCGTCGATCGCGACTTTCGTAAAGAGAAGCTCCGGTAACACTTCGGCGACTCGCGAGCGTTAAACAACGCCTCTTCGAACGAGCCCACGAATCCAACACGTCGAACGGTTTGCGCCGGTAAGCACGCTGGGAGCCAGGGGGCTGGAGGTTGAATATCCGAAAGAGACGAAGCGCTGGTTTCTACGTCTATTTCGCACATGAGATAACAAGCCGAGTGATAGCTAGCCGAGTGTAAACACTGACTGAAGTTACATCAGAGTACACGCAGTCGAAATGACGTCTGCAACAGAGCACAGCCAGACGCTTTCAGCAGGGGACGCATGCGTTCAAATAAGCTGCGATTTCAAAACATCATGTATCCCTTCTGTCCTTCAGTGTTCACTTTGATCTGTGTATACCAAAGCACTCAATGCTGCAAGTAATAAAGTCGTCTATACGTACCTTTCGAAGCGATTGAAAGTGCGTTGGTTTCACTTGGAATCCACAAGCAAAGTGCGCGACGAACTTGACGAGCCGTTATCCGTCGGTCCCGCCATCGCCGCTGTCTCGCTGTCTCGTCGGGTTGGCGCGGTCGCGGTCGCTGCGCAATGGCGTAATCTCGGCGGCTTGGCTAGGCTTGGCTGGATCGGCAGATTCGGCCACTCGGCGGCTCGCACAGCCGCTTGTCTGGCTCGATGGGCTACCGGGCTACTCGCGAGTCGCGGCGCGGCTCGCTCGGCTCGCCTAGAGCACTAATAGCTCCTACGGAGCAGAGTAGCGCAATCCTTTGAACCCCGTGTTTCGCCGACAACATGGCCGACAGAGCAGCTAGGCGCGAGTCACGTGGTACTCAGGGTTCCAAGAGGCGGCCCGCCCTATGGGAGAATACATGGAGATCGACATAACACGGCTGATTAAAAAAATAACGGCGAGTTCACACTTTTCAAAACTAGCCTGTCGTGAAGTTAGTAAGGCGCTAAACACTTTATCAAATTTTTAATAATATCGGATGCGTGTGCAAATTTTGAGAAGGCAATTTCCAGGGCAACGGCGTTTGAAGCAGACGATTTTTGCTCGCAGCGGAGACGGGCTTTTCGGGTTGGCCGGAGCGGGTCACGTGAATGGTGTGACGTCGCCGTGTCGTCTGCTGCATGATGCCGCTCAGGCAATTTTTTAAAAAAAAGTTACGTCCTTGCATGGCACAAAACTTATCGCAAATTATTCTAAAATGTTCCATTATTATGTCAAAAATGATTGCCATTCCGTACATTCCCACATTACTGAAGAAACAACGATTTTCTCACGTTCTCCATGCATTTCTGACCGCAGTTGGAACCTCCGGGCGTTCGCCGCTAGTCGCCGAGAGACGGCGTTCTAGATTGCGCTACTCTGCTCCGAAGGAGCTATATAGTGCTCTAGGCTCGCCTCCCTTCGGAATTCGAACTGCCTCCGAAGTTCGAGCGCTCGAGCTTTCGCTCGCGCGGGTTGACGATGGAAACTTTTCTCATAAAACGAGTCTGTAACGTATCGTTTGATGGCGCAAATGCACGTATTTTTCCCGTCGTTTTTTACAGTGTGTGAATCTTGCGAAACAGGCGACGAATAGTGGTGGGTGAAATGTGCTCGTGTGTGGTTGTGGATTTTGTGTACGACGTAGGATTACCCAGAAAGGTGGGTCAATATCGATAAATGTGCGGGTAAGAAGCACGTGACCTGTCAAGCCCATTAATCCTCATTATTTTATCGTGCGAACTGACATTGTCACGTATCGCGTTCGATTTGGGTTTCAACATCGGTAACCTAACTTTTGTTGCATTAAAACTGCAAATAAACATTTGTTTGAAAACGATCACTCCAATGAGCACGTCGTTATTGGGCTTTCCCATTGAAAGGTAGGTCGCGGGTGTCCCAGCTAGTTATTCTGAATGGTTTGGTGGTTGTCTAGCATTTCAAGCGCTCGAGGCTCTGTGTACTGTGTGCCGTACGTACACTTGCGCTTTCGATCAATGTGAATGTGTTTGCAACGCGGAACGTTTGTGTTCTGTGTGTATCCACCTCCAATATCGTTCCCTCTCGTATTGCCGTTTGGTAACTCCTGCTGTTCTACGATATCATTCACGCGATGTCGTATATGTGGGCGTACCGATATCCACATGTTGCTTCACGGGCGATCAATACTGTGTTACGTATCCTCTTAGTCCGCGGTATATGCCGACGTAATTCATGTTGGTAACTTGGAATTCGTTCTGAGATTTATCCACGCGATATTGTATTCTCCTTTGGGGCCGTGATCGACGACCGATATTTATATATCGTGTGGCCGCACAGTATGTCCATGTCGGTTACCAATATGCACGCGGTGTCGTATTCTTTTCCAATAACCGTAAGTTCTGTCGGGATATTGTGCTTCGATATCGTGTTGTATACCAATAACCGCAAGTTATATCGGGATATTGTGCTCCAATATCCTGTTGTATACCAATAACCACATGCTATATCGGGATATTGTGCTCCGGTATGAATTCCCATCGTGCGTATTGGGTTAATCGGATAACAATAAGTTTTTATTGGTTTCCATCAACTTCATTGGAATACAATATTTCCAATAAGCCGAGTTCATATTGGCCTTTTTCAATAGGGTGGGCACACGTTTTGTCGCCTACAGCAACACTGAAGCCAGACAGACAAGCGGTACGGCACCTTTAATTGACGGAGCTTAGAACGAGTAGGGACGCTTTCACTGAAGCTTGTTTTGCTGCAATACACACGTGTATTGCAGCAAAACAAGCTTCAGTGAAAGCGTTCCCAGTCGTTCTGTCAATTAAATATGCCGTACCACTTGTTTGGCTTCAGTATTGCTGCTTCAGAGCAATCTAGAAAATCTAGAATCCTCACCTTTGAACGAGAACGAACTGGCGCCGGCTGGCTTGTGGGCCATGGAAACTGCAAGAGTGGTTTGCGATTAGTTACGTCCAAGTAACAATTTTTTTGGGTAGCCACCTACAGCACACTCAAAATTACATGCACGGGACACAGATGCCTCATGCGACGGAACTCCCTTTGTCCTTGTTTTCTGTTAACTCTGCTCACCTTCACCACTCGCCTCCAATTTCTGCGCTACTTCTTTAATCTCGATTCCCTGGTTCCCAAAGGCCATGCCATGGCTTGCGCCAGTCACGGATCTGTCAGCTCTGCGACTGGCGCTATTGTGGCAAAGACGCCACAGCACCTGGCGCTTGATGTGCTCTTTCAAAATTTTGAGCACGGCTCAAAACAGGTGGATGGGTGTCTGGTATGCCCTTTGCTTATTTGCGGATCGTTCCGAATCAGAGGGTAGGCGCTTCTGCGACCTGGGCGCATGCTCGGTATTTTACAATAGTTGAAACCGGACTCTGCAGGAATCTTGAAACATAACAAACATAATGTGCACGCCAAAAGGCATAGCAAATGAAACACCCACCATCTATCTATTTTCGTTTCTTGTCCGCAAGAAGCTGTCGTATATGTAGCCTCCCTTGCATAAGCCATTCCTCCCTAGTGTCCTGCTGGTCTCGTCCTGATGAATCGTCGGTGGAGACCTGAGGAGCGGTCAACATCAGATTAGACCTTTTTGAGACAGAACCATATACTTGCTGAGAGGAAGTACACCCAAACGAATCTCAGGCATGTCATTTATAGTGCGTTTTAAATTGAGACGCATGATGTAAAATGAGACGTCAATACTGACGCACCCCTTTTGCGAACCCAAAATTTTGAAGGCCTTGTCCCCCTTAGTTAGGGGGACAAGGCACATGAATCCCGGCATGTGGATAAAATTTTTACCTTAACATCCCGACTCAATGCCCATCCCTGAATATTCGACCGCCACACTTTTAGAAAAAAAAAATTTTTTTTAGGAAACACCGAGTCATCTACCACCCCTACAAACGCCTGAACCAAGCATACTCGTACCGTGGCTTGTTTGCTCCGTGCCGCCCCCAAGTTAATTCGGGCTGACAATGTTTTTTTTTTTTTTTTCAAATGGAACCCACATTCTTAGTTTTGGTTTGTCTTGCAGAAGCAGGTGGATACTTTTATAAAGCTTTCTCCCTATGCTCTTCCGAGTCAACATTTTTGCAATGGCCAACCCCCGGGCTTTGATTTTGCGCTCCTTGATGAATGCTGAAACTCATATAGGCGGGCAATAGCTAGCCTTGAAAATACTTGCTTTTGGTGGCCGAGAACAAACTCGTGTTCCTGATCGGCAGCCACTTGCTGCCAAGAATTTCTGCACATATCCTAAAGATTAGTCTAACACAGATGCTTTGGCCGGACAGAGACACAAAAGCCTGAAACAAGGCCACTATACAGGCAGGAAATAGAGTGTCTGTGAGGAATGAAACAAACAACTCAGATAGGCATCAATCACTCACCTTGAAAACACTTGCCATGCGCGGCAAAAAACAAACTTCTGGCCTTGATTGGCTGGTTCTTGCCACCAAGACCTGCATGTATAAGAAAGAACCCGGACTTAATTAAACTTGGGTGCTTTTGCAGAAGAGAGACAACAAAATACTAGTAGGTCTCCACACTGTTTACGAGAGCTAAGGCTGTGTGCTCTTCTGAAAACAACAAAAGAAAAGAGGAACAAACAATCATCAGCGACCTAAAAAAGAATGGCTATACCGGTAATTTCATTCGCCATGTGGTTCGCCGTCAGAACCATAATAGGATAAACCAACCTGCAAGAACAGCTTCCAAACCGCTAGCACGCGTCAGCATCCCTTACGTGAAAGGAACGAGCGAACTACTATCCAGACTATTCGCAAAAGAACATATTATGGTTGCACACAAACCGGTGTCAACGCTTGGGCACTTCCTGCCCCGCCCAAAGGACAAGCCACCGAAGGACAGGGCACAGGGCGTCATTTATAAGATTCCATGCTCCCAATGCCCCGCCTCCTATATCGGCGAATCGAAGAACTTCCACGATCGACTCCGCCAACATAAAAACGACGTGCGAAACTTCGACAGAGAACGCAGTGCTCTCGCTGAGCATTGCGAGACCCTCAACCACCGCATTGCCTTTGAAAACGCAAGCATCCTAGACACGGCATCAAATCTACGTAGAAGACAGCTCGTAGAGTCATGGTACATACAAACAACCTCTAACATCAATAGGTCCTTAGGGGCACTTCCAACTTTATATATTACCGGCCTCCAAGATGTTATAACAGACTGTGCACGGCACGACCAGCCTACTAAGACCAATGAAAAAGAAAAAGAAGTCACTCAACATCTAGAAGAAGAAGCTGCTGTCCTTCATTCATCCCCCTGAAGAAGAAACGAACGGTTTCGAAACGTAGGGTCGCTACTATTTCAATTTTTGGTTGGCGGATTATCTTATCTCTTTATCTCTTCAAAATACTAGTGCAAGACCACTACATATAGGAAATGGCATCCAAAAGGAATGAGACACAAAACTGATATAGGTGGGCAATAGCTCACCTTGAAAATACTTGCTCTTAGTGGCCGAGAACAAACACTTGTTCCTGATTGGCAGCCATTTGCTGCAAAGGATACCTGCAGATATCCTAAAGAACGGAGTCTTAGTCTAACACAGATGCTTTGACTGGACAGAGACACAAAAGCCTGACACAAGACCACTATAAAGACAGGACATAGAGTGTCTGTGAGGAATGAAACACAAAACTCAGATAGGCATCAATCACTCACTTTGAAAACACTTGCAATGCGCGGCAAAGAGCAAACTTCTGGCCTTGATTGGCTGGTGCTTGCCACCAAGACCTGCATGTATAAGAAAGAACCCGGTCTTAGTCAAACTTGGGTGTTTTGCAGAAGAGAGACAACAAAATACTAATGCAAGACCACTACACATAGGTTATGGCATTCAAGAGGAATGAAATACAAAACTCATATAGGCGGGCAACAGCTCACCTTGAAAACACTTGCTCTCGGTGGCCGAGAACAAACTCGTGTTCCTGATTGGAAGCCATTTGCTGCAAAGAATACCTGTAGATATCCTAAAGAACCCAGTCTTAGTGTAACACAGATGCTTTGGCCGGACAGAATACAAAAGTCTGATACAAACCACAAAAAGCAGGAAATAGTGTCTGCGAGAGATGAAAAAAGACCCAAGTGGAGAGGCTCGTTCTGTTTCACGTTAGTCAAATAGTGTAGCTCATTTTGCTAAAACAATGCATATTTGCTAAAAAAAGTATCTATATTTTGCCCCATTTAGCAGAGTTTACTGCCAAGGGTACCTGCACACCAGAATAAGTCAGAATTAGCCAGTTTTTTTTTCTTCTTTTGATGAGCGACTACAGAATCCTCAACAGGTGATGAAACAAAATATGAACCCAGCAAGACAGGCTAGTTTGCCTTGATGCAAGCACAGTGCCTCGGCCAACCAAATGAGGTTCTATTATTTATCACTTGTCATATTTGGTGGGAATAGTAAAGTAAATGAAAATAAGGCAACCTCTCTTCTAGCTGACAGCTGCAAACAAAATTCATATACCTCGATGAACGACCTGGAAATAAAATTGGGTGGTTACCAAGTGGTGTCAAATTTCAAACTTACAGAATGTAGTTTTGGTTTAAGTCCTCCTGGTGTATATTTTTATCCTTATATCTATATTTACATTGTTTTTTTTGTATTTTTGAGGCACAAGTACTTAAGTTATACGCTAATTCACCTTTAAAAGCGTTTTAATTACACTCCATGCCTTTCTAGTGCTCGTAATTTATTCTTGGTGAAAGCTGTCTTAAATTTTTCTTTTCTTGCTGTCGCTGCTGCTTGCTTTCTCACATTTAGAATGCTGACAACTCGACACAAAAGTAATGAAAAATGGGTTTAAAATATCATGAATATCAGCATTTCCAAGCTGTACCCCTGCTTCATGCCCCGACCATGCCACCATACCATAGCTGAGTGCAGTGACAAATGGTCCCAGGTTTGTCACCCGACCGTTTCTTGGGCTTACGGTGTGGCGCGACTCATGAAGCACCTATGCTTCACGATGGAGCCAGTTAGCGAGGTGTGACACACTAGAGCTGTGCAAGCCACAGCTTTACAGCCTGCAAAGCGTGGGAAGATCCCTCTCCCTTTGCAGAGCTGGCATTAGCTCACCGAGAAGCTATTGCAAGCACTAGAAAGCCACAGAGTGTGAATAAAAGCGCTTCTGAAAATGAATTAGTGTGTAAATTATGCATCTATATGTTGCATAATAACACGGGCCGCCCGCGTTCACATGCAGCAACCGAATTGCTACGACTTGCCATCATCATCATGAAATTTTATTTTTCTTACAGTATTTAGATGCACAGTTATATCCTAAAAACATGTTTTTATATCTTTAAATTGCGCTGAGAATACTAACTAATCTTTTTGAAACAGTTTATTTTCAAAAATGATCCATTTCAAACCAGAACTAAGTCCTCAGTTCTCATCATCACGACCACAGGGGTGTCACGTGAAAATATTGCATTCCTGATTGGCTGCTGCCGCTTCAAACATCTCCGAGTAGTCAAAGTTGCTCGTCCGCTTCGAGCCGGACCCAACCTCAGCAATTCGTGTCGATCTAGGGAAAACTAGGGAACAACCCGCCAGCAGCCGCAAAATTGCTGGAAAGGTTGCCCCGTCTGAAGCGATCCTATACTCTGTTTCATACATAGAGTGCAACGCAGTCAAAGCTAGCGCACTGGTTTGCATTGCTGACCATGCCTACGTTCGCCCCATAAGATAGTGCGTCCCCTGCAAAAAAGTTTTTAAAAGTCGGAAAATGTGCCTCCTCGGGGTTAGTAACTGATAGCGGCGTTATGATTTCAACGGAGCACAAATGTTTTTCAAGAAAAAGGAAAAGATAATGTAAACTACCTTAAATTGTTTTCGTGTTCATCCGTGTGGCAGCCGCTGTGGGTTTTCGGGTTGTGTGGCACTGGCTGGTTTTGAGAAGATGGCATCCTATGCAGCAAGCTCAAGTACCTCTCCTGCTCGGATGTTTTCGAAGATTCGTTGTGCGAAAATCTTGAAAGAGTGCAAGCAGATGATCGCCAATGTGTACGGGAGTATAAGAACACATTCCCCGGAGAATTCGGTCGTGAAGTCCTGGAGACGGCCAGTAACGACACTGGAGTGTGCCCTGTACTGTCGCGAAGTGCAAGGCGCAGTGCCTATCTGGCAAGGTGGCGTCCCCGAACCAAAGACCTCGCAACGTGAAGGTTTCGAGCACGGTGACCGTCAAGCATGACGAGTTCACACAGAACGCCATTCGCCTGGAGGTGCATCGCAAGTGCTCCGAGAGGGAGATTCCTACCCTTGACAGCTATTTCAAAATAAACTGTACAGGCCACAACTATTGTCAATTAACGTTTTATTATAAATTTTGGGACAAGGCCGCTATCAGGGCGATTCCTCACTCCACGCTGCACGAAAGAAAAATATAACTCGGTGCTGGAGGCAAATAACACTTGCAAAGCGGCAGACCAGATGGTAGAAATCTGGCCTCTCGGCGACTTATAAATAAAAATTAAGAAGGAGGAACTGAAATATGCACTTCGTCAATGCGCACAATCTTGCACAAAAAGTATGTCTAAAAAAAAAAAAAAACCAAAAAGCTTTGCGCGTAAAACGGGTTCAAACCACGGCCACTGAGACGTCAATATCGCCAGAGCAGCGCCTTCTACCACTCGTCCACGAAACGCGCGGAGTAACACGTTTTCTATTTTTTCATGCGCACCACTTTAGTACCTTTGACAGCGTTACACGCTAAGTATGAAACAGAGTATAAGACACCCTATTGTCTGGTACAGAGACAATTTATGAACGCTTGGGTGTTTAAACGATCTACTACACATTTTACAGAAATAAAAAAAAACATTGGATGTTTAAACGTTGTACTACCCCTTTTTCAATAGAAAAAAGCAACAATAAAAAAAACACATTTCAGAAGAAAAGGTTAAGGAAAGGGAATGTACCATTAGGTTCAGTGAAGTTTGGTGACAAGACTCGGGACTCGAGCAGGAATGCAGTTATCCTTGGTGTGACCCCATGAGACTGTCTTGCTGCCTTTGCTGGGGTTTATCTAACTGAAGTACCAGTACGAAAAATAGAACACATGTGCATAACACTCATTATTCACAAGAAAATTTGTCAATGTCCAAAATGACCCATGAAGAAAATTATGCGAGGAATTTTCAGGCTGCGTTGGCCGAGTCACCTCTCGTGGCCAATGTTTCATAGCAACTTTAATTGTTGTGAACAGTTATAGGGTATATTACGAACAAAGTGCAATTTGGTTTTGTAGGAAACTATAACACACAAAACGACACTTGAATGCAGTATGTTGAGGTACCTCTAAACAAACTCCAGGGTTTCATGGCGCCTCTTTCAGATACCTGATGTTGAACATGAAATATGTGCACCAAGGAGTGAGCAAACAGCGACTTCAGATTTGTCTCTACACCAGCGACATGTCGACAA